ATGGACTCAAGTGTGGCAGCGGTAGTGAGGTTGGCCCAGGATCGGATATTGTTTCGTTCTGCTGTGCATGGGGTCGCTATGAGTCGGTTCCGACTTGATGGCACCTGACAACAACAATGCTGAGCAAATAATTTCAGAAGTTGAACTATATTAAGATGAACATGACATCAGGATTGGAGGAAGACACAACCTTGCTTGTAGAGAGCAAAGAGAACCTGAAGTAGTTGATTGGTAAAGATCAAACACTACAGCCTTTAGTATGGATTACACCTCAGTATATGAATTACAGCTCATCATAAAGAAAGCAAAAATCCTCAGAACTGGACCAAAAAGCAACATCATGATAAACGGAGGAAAGATTGAAGTTGTCAAGGATTTCATTTTACTTGGATATACAATGAACACCCACAGAAGCAACAGTCAAGAAATCTAATGATCTTTTATAGCAAGTTTGTATAAGGAAAACCTGCTGCAAAAGCCCTTTTCAAAATGTTACAAAGCACAAACACCTGATCGAAGCCATGATATTTTCAACCGCCTTACATGAATAAGAAAGACTAAAGAATTGATGCCTTTGAATTATAGTGTTGTCAGAGAATACTGAATGCACCGTAACTTCTAGAAGGAGGAACAAAGCTGGTTTGGAAGCAGCATAGTCAGATTGCTCCTTAGAAGTAAGAATGGTGAGACTTCATGGCATGTACTTTGGACATGTTATCAGGAGGGAGCAGTCCTGGAGAAGAACATCATACTTGATAAAGTGGAGGTTCAGTGAAAAAGAGGGAGATCCTCAGCAAGATGGATGGACACAGTGTCTGCAACAATGGGCTCCAGCATAGCACCGACTGTGAGGACGGCGCAGTACTGTGAAGTGGAACCAACTCAAGGGCACCTAACAATGATAACATACCACAGAGGGAGGCCTTCCCACCCGTGGCTGAGTATGTGAAAGCTCAGTCTGGGCCTGTGTGGAGGCTGACTCCTTCTTCCACCCTGTGGCTGCGGTACTCACCTTGGATGGTGAGCTGGGCGAAGGCCTCTGCTGAGCCCACTCTATTGGTAACCTCGCAGCGGTAACGGCCTGAGTCCTCAGGAGCTGCGGGCTCAAAGCGCAGCAGCTCATTCCTGACGATGGCCCTCTCAGGGAGGCTGCCGCCCACACGGCTCCACTGGAAGGTGAGTGGGGGTGTCCCGTGGGCCAGGCACTGCAGCTGCACTGGTTCCCCTGCCCGCACTGAAGCATGCTCTGGGACTGTGGTGGCATATGGTGGGCCTGAGGGGTAAGGACACAGAAGTCAGGGTAGAGCAGGCACACATGCCAGGGAGGGAGCAGGTAGCTGGACCCAGAAGACCTGGCAAAGGACAAGGGAGCCCAGACAACTGAGGAGGAGGAAAGCAAAGGTCTTAGGACGAGCTGTGACTGTCAGGGAAGGGCAGGCTCTGGGGCCTGAGGTACAGAGGGTTCTCTTAAGGGGGTTCCTTGGGCTTTTTCCAGAGATGGAGCCTGGGAGGGGATTCAGGCCTTCATGCAGGGCAGTGAGGGGAGGGAGCCCAAGGGGTGAGGCCAGTGACTTACTGTCCACATGCAGGACAATGGTGGCCTCTGAGTGCCCGGCAGGATTAGTGGCATTGCAGATGTACTGGCCTGAATCCTGCTGGGCTACCCGGGGAATGATCAGTGTGTCCCCTTCCAGTCGGTGCTGCCAGGGCAAGGGCGAGCGCAGCTTGGACCAGTGGATGGTGGGGGTAGGGTTGCCTGTGGAGAAGAAGGCAGAGGTCACCAAACTGCTCCAGGGGCCAGATGCAGACAGGGATGGTAGGAGAGGGTTCTGGCCCTCCTGTTCCTACATGGGGGGGCAGTATGTGGGAGAAGCCAGCAGGCATCTGGCATCTTCACATCGCTTGAGTTCCAGGGCACCATAGCTCTGCCTGTCTCGTGTGTCAGTCCCCATTCACACCTGTGGCCGAGCAGCGCAGCGTGGCTGTGTGTCCTGCTTCCACAGTTAGCTCGATTTCTTCCACTTGGACCTGGGGAGCCCCCGGGGCCATGGTGCCCATGTCCACAATCACCTCCACCTGCTTCTGGGCTGTGCCCAGTGCATTTTGAGCTATGCACACGTAGATGCCTGCATCGGCTGGTTTAGCTGATGAAATCTGGAAGCAAGCAAGGAGGCTGGTGATGTGGGTGCTGAAGGGAAGATGCTCGTATCAGCCTCCAGCTCTCAATCAGTTTTCTCTCTTCCCTGGGTTTTTAGCTCTCCTATTTGACTGACTGCCTGGGAGCTCATTCTTCTTGTTAATGACATCCATTAATGTCATCCATCCAGCTACCTGTTCACTCATCCATCTATTTACCTACCCATCCACTCACTCATGCATTCATCCACTCACCCACCCATCCACCTACTCACCTACCCATCCATCACTCAAGGATCCATCCATTCATCCACTCACTCACCTATCCATCCAGTCACCCACCTATCCATCCACTCACCATCTATCCATTCATCCATCCACTCACCCAATCACCCATCCATCCACTCTCCTGCTCATCTACTCACCCATCTACCCATTCACTCACCCTTCTATCCATCCACTCACTCACCCTTTCATCCATCCATCACTCAAGGATCCATCCATTCATCTACTCATACTTCCATTCACCCACTCACCCATCCATCCACTTACCCATCTATCCATTCATCCATCCATTCACCCTTCCATGCACCCACTCGCCCATCTACCCATCCACTTGCCCACCCATCCATCCACTCATTTACCCACTTACTCATATACCCATCCTTCCATCTACTCACCCACTCATCCATCCATCACCCATCCTTCCAAACATCCAACTCTCTGTCCATTCTTTCACCAATTCCCTCTTGCACTTATCTTCTTTCATCTCTCCATCTTCCAATCCACTCACCCCTCTACCTGTCACATATCTCCCTTTCATCTATCACCCACCTGCCACCCATGACTCTCTCCTCTAAACACCTGCTCCAGAGAGGAAACATCCTGGGATCTAAACATTGGGGAAGCCATGCCTCACCTGCAGCAGTGTGTGGCTGTCTACAAGTCCATAGATCCGCTGCTCCAACTTGTGGGGGCTGCCAATGCGGGTCCAACGAGTTGAGGAGCGGGGCTCCCCAGCACTGACACACTCCAGGGTGACGGATTTTCCAGCTTTAACTCGCACGGGACCCTTGGGGAGCACGGACACTGACGGGGGTCCTGCCCAGAGAACAACCACCATGACACATAGACAAGTCTCCATAGTCCCCATCACTGTAACTGCCAGGCTGGCTCTAGCCTCCCCATGCATTGATGTAGGCACTGAGGCTCAGAGAGGGAGAATGCCCAAGGTCACAGGGCAGTCAGTGACAGAGTCAGGCCTGGAGGTCTGAACACAGAATCTGGGCTGGAGTTCCAGGGGGTGACGCCCCTCACCGTGCACACTGAGGTTCACGACACTCTGGGCCACACCATAGGCATTGGAGGCCACACAGCGGTAGGCACCGTGGTTGCTGGGCCGGGTGCCCACGATGGTGATGATGGAGCCATTGGGGCTGATGTGGACGTTGTCTGTGGGGTTGGCACAGGAGGAGGATGCAGTCAGTTCTAATGCACTGCCAGCTGGGACCCCTGAAGCCTGGGTGTGACCAATTCAGAGTCATAGATTCTTACAGATGACTGTCCTTGGAGACTCCTGGGTCTAGCCCCTTTACCATACAGATGTGAACACTGAGGTTCAGAGTGGAGAAGGCTTACTCCAGGGTCACACAGCGAGTCTGATGCTGCCCCAGTCCCTGCCCTCTGCCCATACTCGCCTCCAGTCCCTCCCCACCCCCTGCTCACCTTCCAGTTCCTGGTTCCGGCTCTTCCACTCAAGCGTGATAGGGGCTGCCCCATCATGGATGAGGCACTTGAAGCTGGCATCCTGACCTTGCTGCACAGTGTTGCTGGGTGGGTCGATGGAAATGACGGGGCTTCTGAGGCCTGGGTATAAAGATCCGGAGGGGCGGCTTAGCTAGCGGAGGCCTGGTCTAGGCTCCAGGGCCCTCTCCTTGGCCCCACCGTGTATCCCCCATACTCACGGTAAGAGGATCCTGCGCTGGGTGGGACCGTGATTGTGAAGGAGGCCTCCTGCTCAGGGCCTGAGCCGCCAACCACTCGACACACATACTCGCCAGAGTCGGCAGGGGAGACGTGGTGGATCCGCAGCAGGGAGCCATGGGTCTGTGGGAGCAGGAAGGGACAGCCATCAGGCCAAGCAGTGGGACAAGGCAAGTCCCTAAGCATGGCTTTGCCAGTACTAAATCTTGCCATGGGCTCAGGAGTCAAGGCTCCAGGTGATCCTGACCCCTAGAAATCCAACCCACCCATTTTACAGAGGAGGAAAACAGGACCAGAAAGCCATGTAGCAGCAGAGCCAAGAGCAAAACCCAGGTAATTCAGCTCCCAGGTTAGGGACCTCGTTTTCCTTAGAGCAGTGTAACCCTTGAGGTCCCCAAGCATACTGGAAATTGTAAGAGGTTTGGAATGCAGAAGACAACTGCAGGTCAAACCTTGCCTGCCTTGAAATCCATTCCATCCTGGCCTCTGTACCTGGTGCCTCGAAGGCAGGCTGCCCTCACGCTTGTGCCATGTGACCTGGGCATGGGGCTGCCCGGGCACCACGCAGTTCAGATCCAGGGTCTGCCCTTCAGCCACGTGTGAGGAGGAGGACTCAATGTAGACAGGCTGGGCCAGTCCTGGGGCTGCAGACACAGGGGTGGGTGAGAAAGCACAGGTTTCTGGGGTTGGTAGCAAGGGCTTGAGGAGGAGGCACTGAATATCAACTGGGTTTCTTGGAGGTGTGGTGTTTTAAGAAGTGGCAGACATGGTTGAGTTTCCTTGCTCTGAATAGGGTTCCCTTCCCTGCGGGCCAAGACACTGTTCTGAAGCTCCCCCTGGCTGGGGGGTGGGATGGGGACTGGGACTCACCACTGCCAATGCTCTTTGTCACTTACCAGGAATGGGGACTGGGCTGGAGGCCTCAATTGTTACCAGGACAGAGGCCTCCAGGGTGCCTGAGCTGCCGGTCACTCGGCATGAGTACTCGCCAGAATCAGCTGGGGACACCTGGTTCAGTCTCAGCAGGGAGCCGTGGACCTGACCAGAATGGGGGCGAGAGTTGAGTGGGGTGAGCTGGGATGCTGGCCAAACCCTCTGGTACCCATGTCCCAGAACTGTCATGTACTGTCAGGTAGGTTCTATCCTTCCAAACTTCTATCCCCTTTGACACCATAGACCAAGTAGAACGTAAGATTCTGAGAGCACTTTTTCAGAGGGTTGGAAGTCAGGTGTCTCACTAACTGGGGTCCTTTTCTGGTTCACAGCAAAAACAGAGGACTAGTTGTAGGCCTGTGGGACCAGCTGTGGCCCTGCTGCGCCCAGCCTGCTCTCAACCTCCTGACTCCTGTCCCGAGTCTCCTCAACTCATTGCTGAGGCCACCTTCCCATCTGGGCTGCATTCAGGCAGACTGTCTGGGTGGGAGCCCAAGTGTGATCTTCTCCAGCCCTGTACCTGGTGCCCGGTAGGGAGACTGCCCCCACGCTTGTGCCACGTGATCTGGGCATGGGCCTGCCCAGGCACGATGCAGTTCAGATCCAGGGTCTGCCCCTCGGCCACTCGAGAGGAGGAGGTCTCAATGCGGATGGGTGGGATTCCGCCAGCATCTAGGACACAGGGAGAGGTCAGAGAGGAAGCTGGGACACCCACCTGTACCCTCTGTCCTTATCCTCAGGGACTCCTGGGGAGGTGGGCCCAGTTCTCCACTTGCCCCTTCCCATTCCCCTTCACCGAGACCTGAAGTCACTGGGCTAGGCTAGGGTGTGAGGCTCTGCCCACGCAGTGGCCCCAGCATCTGCTCCTCATCTTCCAGTGCCAATGATCACCACCAGGCACACTGCTAATGTTTCCCAAGTTCAAGTAGCAACTGGCTAAGAGCCCAGACTCTGAGGCCAGACTGCTTGGGTTCAAATCCCAGCTCTGTTCTTTATGAGTTGTGTGACTTTTGGAAAGTTATTTCGCCTCTCTGTGCCTCATTTTTTAAATTGTAAAATGGAGAGCAATCACATTTCCCTCAAGAGTTGTGAAGATGAAATGACTTACTATAAGGAGTTTCATTCAAAAAGTTCATGGAAAGATAAGGGTATTATTCCATGAATTTTTTTGAAGGCCCCTTGTCTGTGTAAACGTGTCTGGCACTGAGCTAACACGCATCATGCTTCTTTTTGTTGTGTGCTGTCAACTCAGTTCTAACTCACAGTGACACTGTACAGGGTGTGTAAGGCTGTAAATCTTCATGGGAGCACAAACTGTCCTCTTGCTCCTACGGAATGGCTGGTGGATTTGAACTGCTGAACTTGTGGTTAGCAGTCTAGTAGTGCTTGTTCTACACACCACCAGCATTCCTGATCAATCAAGCTTGTTGTTGTAGAGTGTCACTGAGTCAGCTCGGACTCACAGAGACCCTGTATAGCATTTCCAAAGAGCGGATGGTGGGTTTGAACCGCTGACCTTGCGATTAGCAGTCCAGTGTGTATCCTACAGCCCCACACCAGGACTCCCTTAGCATGCTAATTACTTAGCAACCTGTGCACTATCATCCTGAGTTTTCATAGAGCCATGTGCCCCCTTTCAACTGAGTCCTTATTTTAAAAACTCCTAGGCTTTCCATGTCCCCCCCCCCCAATATGTGGAGGTCATTGTTAGCTGTCATTAACTTGGTTCTGACTCCTGGTGACCTTTATGTATCACACTGCCCAGTCCTGCACCAGCTTTCCTGAGACACCACTATGAAAATAAAAGACGCCTATCACAGTACCATCTACGGTCACCCAGCATATGTCCAGAGGGGCAGTTCTAGGTTTTGGAAAATTCATTTTCATTGTCATAGAGCTCAGCGGTCTCCATTTTACAAATGAAGACAGTGGCAAACAGAGAGGGCAGGTCCTTGTGTGGACAGAGGAACTAAACTCAAGCCCACATAGGCCAGATTCCAGTCTGTGCTCCCACAGATCAGGAGGTACTGTCCATAGGACAGGGTCCTGGGACTTCCCAGCTGAGAGGACCAGGCTGGCCATGGATGTCTGTTGTCACCAGGTGCTAAGTGCATCTGCTTCCCCCAGTCACCGTCTCTGGCCTCCCTCCCTCCCTCTTCCAGCCTCCCAGTCCACTGCAGGGACCCTCACCAGGAACACGAACAGCACTAGAGCTGGGGGCTTCAATGGTGACCAGGACTGAGGCCTCCAGTGGGCCAGAGTTGCCCACCACACGGCACATGTACTCGCCAGAGTCAGATGGGGACACCTGGTACAGCCGCAGCCATGAGCCATGGATCTGAGCAAGGACAATATTGGGGAGGCAGCGGGGAGGAGAAACAGTATAAGAGCCCCATCTGGAATCCCTGAGGGCCTGGGGCCAGGCTCTAACTTCTGATCCAGGGGCACTGTATCCCAAGGGGCTACTGGGCCTTCCTGGGCAGAGGATGAGGACGAGGCTCCAAGTCAGACCCTATAGTCAGCAGCCCTCCCCTCCCAACATCTCCTGCCCCATGTACCTGATGCTTAGCAGGGAGGCTACCTCCACGCTTGTGCCACGTGACCTGGGCGTGGGCCTGTCCAGGCACCACGCAGTTCAGATCCAGTGTCTGCCCCTCAGCCACGTGTGAAGATGACGACTCAATTCTGATGGGCTGGGCACCACCTGGGCCTGGGGGCACAGAAGCAGCAGTTCAGGGCTTTGGACATAGTCAGAGATGGGAACGACTGGAATGATGGGGATTCCCAGCTTTAGAAACCCCTGCCCCCTGGATAATAATAATAAAAACAAACAAAAAACTAGTGGCGATCCAACTAACTCTAAAGCCTGGTGACCCCATGTGGTCAGAACAGAACTGTGGGCCGTGAGTCTCTTCTTCACTGATATTTCTGTTGTTGAGATACATGTGGCTGAACACACACCAATTTCTCTGGGAACAATTCAGTGATACTGAGTACGTTCTTCAAGTTAGGCAACCATCCTCACTCCCCTGTTCACGTAACCTCAGTCCCTAAGCTACCTACCTGATGTTTTCAGTAACTGCTGTCAATCCGATTCCACATTGACAGCTCCTCAAAGAGCAGGATGTTCAAGGCAGACATGCTTTACTAGTGAAGCTAAACTCGTTTGGCTTAAAGAAGACTTCAGGGGATATTTTAGGTTTAAGGTTCAAATAGTCTCTTGGGGCGATAGTTTCAGGATTCATCCAGCCCCTATGATGCCAGAAAGTTTGGACCCCATGGTAATTTGAATCGGAGTTCAATGGCTGGTATTTTAGAACTAGAGCGCCAGGACATTCTTCTGAGGTGCCTCTTGGTGGACCTCACACCTCCCATCTTTTGGTCAGTAGCCATGCATGTTAATCGTTTATACTCCAATCATAACAGTAAGCATTTGCTAAGTACTTACACTTACAGTGTGCCAGACACTGTCCTGAAGCCCTCACGTGGATTAACTCATTTACATGTATGAATTCATTTGGTGGTGGTGTGTTCTGTCAAATTGGCTCTGGCTCATAGTGACCTATGTGACAGAGTAGGACTGGCCCCTTAAGATTTTGTAGAGGTGACCTTTATGGGAGCTGACCACTAGGTCTTTTTCCCAAGGAGCTACTGGGACCTCTCAGTTAGCATACCTTTCAGATAGCAGCTGAGCTACCTGAGAGCTTAACTATTATGCCAATAGGGCTCTTTATTAACTCATTTAATCCTCACAGAATTCCTAAGCAGCGCTGTGCAACAGGCCTTCCGACCTTGACAGAAATGCCCTACATCTGCACTGTCCAATCAAGCGGTCACGAGCTATACTGATAATGTATGAACCTGACTTCTGCTTTAATGTCATTTCGATCTAAATCGCCTCATGACCACCATATTGGAGAGTGCAGCTCCGCGACGCTGGAATGATCAATATCCCTAAGAGGACAAGAGAAGAGCTTGCTAGAGTCCGTCAGTGGTACAGCCAGGACTTGACTCTGCATCTTTCTGTAAAACCTCTGCTGGACCCCACTGGTCTGAGGAGTCTCACTCCAGAGTTCCTTCTGCCCTAGGACACCAGTGCCCAAGTCTCCCTGTCTTGTCCCCAGGGCTTCATTAGACTCACTGGAGGGGTTGCCAGTGTTGGGGGAGACTGAGACCAGGATGGAGGCTTCCAGGGCATCAATGTTGTTGTTGGCTCGGCACACGTACTCGCCCGAATCAGCCGCAGATATCTGGTATAGCCGCAGATGGGAGCCGTGGGCCTGGCAAGAAGATGGAATCCGGGGACCACAGGATTACTGGCTGCCTCAGGTCCTACCCAGTCTCCCTCTGTCTACCCAGGGCAGGAAGGAGGACTGTCTCAGGCATCCCAGTTAATACTTCAGGCTCTCTGCCTACCCCAGGAGGCGGGCCTCCCACCCCCACTGCATGGTTTCATTCTACCTGGTGCCGGGTGGGCAAGCTGCCTTCACGCTTGTACCATGTGATGGTGGCCTGAGGCTGCCCAGCGACCACACAGTTCAGATCCAAGGTCTGCCCTTCTACCACTGTGGGGGACGAGGACTCGATCTTGATTGGTGGGGAGACGCTGGGTACTGGGGACAGGGGCCGGGTGACACAGCCCATGTCAGACACCAGGAACAGTGCCAGGAAGCTCTCTGCCTCCCCCTACCCTCTTCATTCTCACCATGGGAGGAGCCACTGCCCTGGATGGTGACGATGAGGGAGGTTTCCTGGGAGCCGGCACCGTTACTGACATGACACACATACTCGCCTGAGTCTGCAGGTGTCACCTGGGGGATCCGGAGCCGGGAGCCCACAATCTGAGGAAGAGCAGGTGTGAGTGGGTGGGGCTGCCCTGCACCCTCAGTTTCCATCAGGCAGAGCCTACAGTCTGTCTCTGGATCTGGAGACGAGTCGCCCACCCGTCACCCTTCCAGGGAGCCTGCAGAGAACTTCGCTGGTATTGGTACAGCACTGTCTTCCTTCTGCCCAGCTCGTATCTCACACACTGTGCTGCTGTTGCCTCCAAACTGTGGGCTCCCTGAGGACAGACACTGGTCCTTGTTCAACTGGGGCCCTCAGTGCTCAGCACTGGACTTGGCATGGAACAGACTCTTAGGCATGTGAGTGAATTGTAGAATGTTCTGCTGAAATACAGGATCAACTGTATCCTCAGCACTGGGGCAGGGATGCTCCATGTTTGTTGATGACTGAATGAGCACAGAGTATGGTGCTAAGAGCCCCTCCTGACTTTCGTCAGTGCTGCTTCACCTGCCTGCTACCTCCGTACCTGATGCCGGCTGGGTAAGCTGCCCCCACGCTTGTACCAGGTGATAGTATGAGGGGCCTGGCTGGCCACCAGGCAGTTGAGGTCCAGGGTGTGTCCATTGGCCAGGGAGGCTGAGGAGGACTCGATACGGACAGGGTACACCACGCCCTGGGCTGGGAGGGTGAGACAGGAGGCAGGGTGTCGGAGCCACTGAGGGTGGTTCCTAGCAGCACCCCCCCACATTTGCTATGACCCTGAGATACTCACTATGGGAGGAGCTAAGGCGCTTTTGGATGGTGACAAGGACAGAGGCCTCCTGGATGCCTGAGCTGCTGGCCACTCGGCACATGTATTCCCCAGAATCTGAGGGGGTCACCTGAGGCAGCCGTAGCCTCGAGCCAAGTACCTGGGTGGGGCAGAAAGGAGGCAGGCTCAGACACTGGCCCCTCCCAGCCAGTGATACAAGAAGGAAGCCTAGCCAGCTGATACAAGAAGGAAGCTTTTCCAAGGAAAACTAGCAATCACCATCTTCCATTCTTTTTCCCCAAGGACAAGTGGGCAGTTGGACCTCTCAGATAGGGGTCAAGCCTGCCACTTTATCCATGCCAGGGAATGCTGGGATTTGGTACCAGGGAGACCACGTTTGCTGGCATGCTATGGGGACAGGTGAGGTAGGTAGGCAATGTGAGCCCATTTGACAGATGAGGAAACTGAGAAGTAGGAAGTCAAGTGACTGGCCTAAGGTCACACAGCAGGCAAGTGGAAGGGCAGCATCTGCACTCGCCCTTTATTCTGCAGCTCTGAGAGTTCCTAAGGTCCCTCTTTAGTCCCCCACTTCCTACCTGGTGCTGGGCAGGGAGGCTGCCTCCACGCTTATGCCATGTGATCTGGGCATGGCTCTGTCCAGCAACAAGGCAGTTCAGGTCCAGGGTCTGCCCTTCAGCCACTTGTGAGGAAGATGATTCAATCCGAACTGGGGGGGTGACACTGAGCCCTGGGTACAGAGGACAGAGGATCAGTCCTCACTGGGAAGGGAGAAGAGATGGCTGTACGTGGAGGCAAGGACCACTAGTCTGTGGGAGGTGGAGTCTGGGTTTTGTCCCCTGGATCCTGCCATTGCTGCACTGGGGGCCCTGGGCTAAGTCCCACCCTCCAGCGTCACTCACCAGGCACAGAGCCCGAAGACTCAATAGTGACCAGGACAGAGGCCTCCAGGGGCACGGAGCCACCCACCACACGGCACATGTACTCGCCAGAGTCGGCAGGGGACACCTGGTAGAGTCTCAGCAGCGAGCCATGTGTCTGGTCAGAATGGGAGGGCAAAGTCAGAGGAAGCCCTCTTAGGACCCTTGTACTTGTCACCTGCAACCCTGCCTCACTCTCTGCCCCATCAGTTTCAGATCCATTTCCCTGCCCTGTGTGGGGATAGAGGAGGGAGATCTTGTTCTAGGAGTGGGACAGTTCCAGGAGGGACTACAGGGAAGTGGGCCAACACAAATGCCATATTCCATCAATTTTGAGACACACTTTCATTGTCATGGAAGTCAAGATGCAGCTACTAATTAATCATCTCACAATGTAAAGTGCCAGCTTTTGTCTTCTTCCCACTGCCGGTGAGTCGATAAGGACTCATAATAATTTCATAAAGAGTTTCTGAGACAGTAAATCTTTACAAGGGCATATTTACAGCCACATCTTTCTGGTCGGTTTGAACTATCAACCTTGTGGTTCACAGTCCAGGGCTAATCCTACAGTGCCACATCAGCAGTCCTTTTTTTTTTTTTAAAGGTACATAAAGAACTGGAAGGTCAGCAGTTCAAGCTTACCAGCTACTCCTTGGAAACCCTATACTGGGTCGCTATGGGTCAGAATCGACTCGACTGAACTTAACAACAACAACAACAACAAAATAATGGTACATATTACAATCAGTGTGCCCTAAATTTTATCAAGTACAGTAATAAATAATAGCTCATAGTATTCTCTATGTGTTAGAGCTCTGATAACTACATACACATTAACACATAATCCTCAGGACAACTCTATGAGGTAGGCACTACTGGTCCCATTTTATAGATGCTGAAAGTATGGCACAGAGAGGTTAGGAAGCTTGTCCTATGTCACACAGCTAATGATTCACACGTAGGCTGGCTGGTCTTCAAGCTGGGCTCTAACCACCATACATGTGGCTCTGCTATGGGGCCCAAGGTATCCAGTTCTCAGAAGAGTCGTCAGCTCCCCACCATTGATCTCTACCACCCAGGGGCCCCCTCTCCTCTTGGTCTTTCTAGTCTCTGGCTCTATACCTGGTGTCGGACAGGTAGGCTGCCCCCGCGCTTGTGCCATGTGACCTGGGCATGGGGCTGCCCAGGCACCACGCAGTTCAGATCCAGGGTCTGCCCTTCAGCCACGCGTGAGGAGGAGGACTCAATGCGGATGGGCTGAGTGTCTCCAGGGGCTAGGGGCATGAGAGAGGCACAGGTTACTCCAGTTCTGGGAAGCTGCTCCCAGACACCTCAGGTCTCCCTCCCAGCTCAGCCTGGTAGCCCCACTCACGGTAGGCAAAGTTGGCCCCCTGGTTCCCTGTGACGGTGACTGTCATGGAGGCCTCTATGCCATTGCTGGCCCGGCACACGTACTCGCCCGCATCAGCTGGGGAGGCCTGGAAGATGTACAGGCGGGAGCCACGGACCTGGGCAACCGTGGACAGGGGCGTGAGAAGGGGCATCCAGATTCCAGTAGATGCCTCAACCCTGCTCCCCTGAGCTGAGAGCTGCATGCAGGTCCTCAGCTCAGGGGCCACCATGACCCTTAACCCACGTGCCTCCCATCCCTGCATCCCTGGCTTGCCCCTGGCTGTCTCCACCCACCTTTCTAGTGCCACGTACCTGGTGTCGGGCAGGGAGGCTGCCCCCACGCTTAAACCATGTGACCGGGGCATGAGTCTGCCCTGCCACCACACAGCTCAGATCCAAGTTCTGCCCCTCAGCCACTGTGGGTGATGAAGACTCGATCTTGACAGGTGGAACAGGTCCTGGGGCTGTGGGCACAGGGGTGAGGGTGGTGGGTGCCCCCTGAGAGAGGGCAGTACTGTGTACCCGGGAGCCAACTTAGCCTTGTCTCCTGAGGTCAGGCCCACGGTGCATGGGGTTTGGTGGTCTGGGCTTGATGTACTGAGCTGAGCAATCCCAGGGGTAGGTCAGAGCGGAGAAGAGTAAGGAAGTGAGAGATGACGCCAGTTAAGGGTGGGAGAGAGAGAGGGGTAGAAGCAAGGAGGGACTTGGCCAAAAATAAGTGATGGGAAGATAGTGGATGGAAACTGAGGCTTAGAAGGTAAAGTAACTTGTTTAAGGCTGATAGGGTTACGTTAGGATTAGGGGTAAGATGTGGCAGTCCAACTTCCGGCTCAGTGTTCAGCCTTGGCCTTCCATTCACTAAGGAACGGAGTCACCACTCAGGAAAGCTCCCGACCTCTGACCCCTTCCAGATACCCATGATCCTCAGGAGTTACTCACCAGGGATGGAGCCCGTGTGGGAACCAAGGGCCTCAATGCTGACCAGGACAGAGGCCTCCAGAGGCCCAGAGCCAAGGACCACACGGCACACATACTCGCCTGAGTCGGCAGGGGATACTTGGTACAGTTGCAGCATGGAGCCATGGATCTGTAGGCAATGAGGGGGTATTGGGAAGGGGCCAGAAGCCCCCAATACAACCCTCCCACCAGGCTGGCCCAGGGATGTTGTACCTGATGCCGGGCAGGGAGGCTGCCCCCGCGTTTGTGCCATGTGACCTGGGCATGGGCCTGCCCGGGCACCACGCAGTTCAGATGCAATGTCTGCCCTTCAGCCACATGCGAGGAGGAGGGCTCGATGCGGATTTGTTGGGTATTGCCTGGAGCTGGGGCTCCGCCGGAGCCTGGACACAGAGGGGCTGGTTCAGAGGTCTGGACTCTTGAGCCCCAGTCCTGTAGCCCTGGGTGAGCTTCTGGCATTTGACCCGAACTTGGGAGGCAGATGTGAAGCGTTTCTGAGGCTGAGACCATGCTCTTCTGTCCCACACGTCCTGCAGGGCCCTCCTCGCCTCTTCCACTTTCAACTCAGACTTGAGGCGGTTTGGGCACCAGGATTCCTTGATCTGTGATCTTAGTAGGCTCTGGCCCACAGGGAACCAGGCACATTTCATGCCTGGGCTGGGGCCCAGGCTGGAGACGATAATGACACAGTTCTCTTCTCAGAAGCACCTGACACTGGCATCATCTCATTGAAACCCTACCATAAGCTAGCAGGTGCATGGTCTTGTACCCATTTCATGGATGAGGAAACTGAGGTCCAGAAAGGTAAAATAATTCATTCAAGGTTGATAAGGGGTAGTGCCAAGATTGGAACCCAGGTCAGTCTGACTCTCAAGTCAGAGTTCAGTCCTGCAATACTGCTTCCTGACACTTTGAGATTAGCACCTTAACAAGGCCCATGACCAGCCCTCCCATCCCACCTCCTTGAGCAGGGAGAGGAGCATCAAAGCCTGCCCGGGATACCCTCCTTGTTCTCATGGAGTCTGTGAGCACCTTCCCTGGGAAGTGTGGGGCAATCTTGGGGCTCAGCCCCACCCAGCTTCTCACCTGGGGTGTGGTTGGGGCCTGGATAGGCGCTGTGGAGGACAGAGACAATGATGGAGGCCTCCTTCGGGCCTGAGCCATTCTCCACTCTGCAGACATATTCTCCAGAATCAGCTGGTGAGACCTGGGGCAGCCGTAGCAGGGCGCCGTGGACCTGGGCCAGGTAGGAAAAGGGGGATGGAGCCAGGGAAGGATCCAGAGTCATCACTGTTTCTAAGCCTCAAATGATTAATTCATAGAATACTCTGAGCCTCCCCATGCTGGAAGATGGGACTAGAAGAACAGGAGACCTGGCCCCTGCTGGGTAAAATACACCAGAAAGTGTGAAGCCTCCCATTCCACCACAAAGCCCTGTGCCTCTAGATCTCTAGCTCGGGCTCAGGGACCCTCATACCTGGGCATGGGGAGGGAGGCTGCCCCCTCGCTTGTACCACAGGACCTGGGCATGGGCCTGCCCAGCTACCACACATTTGAGGTCAAGCATCTGTCCTTCAGTCACAGAAGGGGATGACGACTCGATCTTGACTGGTGGTGAGCTGGCACCTAAGACTGGAAGGCCAGAGTGGTGTACACAGGCCTCATGGGAGCCTAGCCATCCCCGCTCGCCAACCCCCGCAGCCCCTTACCTGGAAGAACGACCACCTGGATACGGGCCTGGGCAGTGCCTGAGGGGCTGGTGGCCACGCAGAGGTAGACACCGGTGTCAGCGAGCGTGATGGCTGGGATGAGCAGTGTGGCGATGTCTGTGTGCTCTGACCGGGCCTGTCACAGGAGAGGAGTCAGCCCCCGGATAGCATAAGGATCCATTGATGCAGACAGAGGGACAGGCAGGACAGAGCCAAGCACAGAGCACGCTAGGGCACCAAGTCACCACCAGCAGGTCCTACAGTGGTGGCTTGTGTGCTGCTGTGATTCTGGAAGCAATGCCACCAGTATTTCACATACCAGCAGGGCTACCTAAGGTGGACAGGTTTCAGCGGGGCCTCAAGACTAAGAGACTAGGAGGAAAGGCCTGGAGATCTATGTCTGAAAACGAGCCAATGAAACCTTATGGAGTACAGCAGAATACTGCCTGACCTAGTGCCGGAAGATGCTGTGACCATGGGCTTAACCATGCCGACAATCACGAAGATGGCCCAGAACCAGACAACATTTGTGGGAATCCAGAAGATTACCATGAACTGGAACCAACTTGATGGCAATTAACCCCAGAGCACCAAGGGGAGCTGAGCAGACAGCAAAGCTGAGGCAGCATGGGAGCAGATGGCCATTGTAGAAGTCAAGGGAATTGGCAGAGCAGAGTGTGGTATAGGAAGTGAATGAGGTGGGAGGAGGGAAGGTGTGTGTGAGTGGGCCTGGTCTCCTCACCTGTGGTGGGAGACTGCCCCCTTCCTTCCTCCAGGAAATGGTGGCACTGGGCACCCCTGCAGCCCTGCAGTACAGCCTGACAGTACGGCCTTCATGGACCTGGGTCTTCTCCGGGCTCACCTGGACCCTGGGCCCACTGCCCCCTGCAACATACACCTTTGTGAGAACAACCCTTGGGCCACTCGTGGGTTCCCAGCCCCCACCCTCATCTGGCCTCCTCACCATGCACGTGGAGCATGGCTCTGGCCACCTGTTGCCCAGCACTGCTGAGGGCGCGGCAGAAGTACTGGGCTTGATCTGAGGGCTCCACGGCTGGCAGGCGCAGGATACCACCATGAATTTGCGCCTTTTCAGGAAGCTGGCCACCAGGACCCCCTGATGTGAAGTGGGGTCAGCAACCATTAGGTCTGGGGCCTCCCTAGCTCCCTCCTCCCAGGAATTGTAGACCCCACAGCCCAGTCTGCCACTGTCCTCCCCCACCCAGGGAAGCCAGAGCTCTGAATGTCATTCCCCCCATGACCTGACCTGTCCACTCGAGGGTGGGCGTGGGGTTCCCTGTGGCACTGCAGCGGAACTCAGCTGTCTGTCCAGGCTGCACTGTGAGCTGTGGAGGGTGGATGGAGACCACAGGAGCGGATGGGGCACTTGAGGCTGACAAGGCAGGAGGGAGAATGCATGGTTAGGGTGGGGATTGCTCTCTCTGCTCCCAGGGGCACCTGTCCAAGCTTGGGAAACATCAAGGGGATCTGGTCAGGCTCCACCTAAGACCTTGTCCACCTAAGGCTCCCCAGGGATTTTAGAAAAAAAACCCAAATCCTACTGTGGCCCACCATATCCTTCATGTTCTGCTCACATCTCCGGGTTTCCTACTATGCTCTCTCCCTCAGCTCTAGCCATTCTGGTGTGCATACTCCTCCAAACACACCAACATGTTCCTGCGTACAGTTCTCGCTGTCAGTTCTCACAGGACCGGATATCTTCAGGGCTCAGCTCAGATGTCGTTTCCTCAGAGACCTCCCTGGCCAATCTATCTAGCATAGCCCACCCTAACCCCATCTCACTTTTCTTTCAATACTTGGGTTAATGCCATTCCAGTACTCATCACATGGGAAATAATCTTCTTGATTCACTTGTTCCCAGGTCTGCAGTCTGCCCAGCTAGAATGCATATTTTGGGAGGGCAGAGATACTGTTTGCCTTTCTCTTCCCTGTTTCTCTGGGGCCTAGACCAGGACCTGACATACTGTAATCCTCAGAAATGATCAGTAACCAGTGTCCTGGTCCTGGGGGAGGAGGGCGTACCGTGTACATGCAGTGTGGCTGTGCCCTGGTCCATGGCAAACATGTTGGAGCCGGTGCACACGTAGGTGCCTGCATCACTTGGTTGCACATTGCGGATGGTCAGGATGCCATTGAAATCCATGGCTCGGGATGGCAGTTTTCCATTGTGCAATCGGGTCCACACCAGGGTATAAGCAGGTGACTGTAAGGCAAGGAGACGGAATGGGAATTGTGGGTGGCCTCAAGACCCCAGAAGACAGGCTCCCCCCACCCCCAGTTTCCCTTCTCTGCCCCACCCACCTTGCTCTTGGCTGTGCAGATGAAGGTGACGTCAGCTCCAGGCCACACACTCTGGCTCCGCTGTTCCTCCACCGTCACTGTGATGGGCTTGCTTGGTGCTTCTGTGGAGATGTGAAGTCCCCCAGGTGAGCTAGGTGCTGGCTATATCCCTAGTCTATGGTCACATTCTCTCTCTCCAGGTCCAGTGTAGATGCCACTCTCGCTCTCTTCTTGTCTGAACCTAACCTCCCACCTTCTCCCATCCTGTACTCAAGCAGCCAGTGGAAGTGACCGGCGCTATCACATGATGCCTTCATGGGACTCAAATTCAGTCACAGACCTCAAACGGGCTCTTAGACTTCATACTTCCCCTCACTCCACCTGGGTTTCTCTCTCTAGCTTGACTTTCCTTTCTATATTCCCAAACAATTCATACTTGCTAAGAAAATAGGAATGACCAGTTGGGAATTTCCCTACCTTCCCATTCCCTGAGGATGGGACCCATCTCTCACACCAGCCCTAACCCTCTCCCAAGAACTCCTTCTGACAGCTGTCGTCTTTCTTGCTACATCAGTTTCTCCTCTGTACTTCCATTGGCTCATTGTAACCCACAGACAAATGTGTTCTAGAATTTTCCACTTCTAAAACGCTTTTCATTGACACCCCTAAGAAGCTACAGTCCCATTTCTTTGCCCCCTTCAAAGTGAAGATTTTTCAATCTACGCATCCTTGTCTTTCCACCCATTCTTTGTCTGATTCCAATCTGGCTTCTACCCTTTTTCTCCACTGAAAAGCCTTCTGTCTTTTTTTTTTTGGGGGGGGAGGGGCTGTACACAGAAACACTCAGGAATATATAATAATTTAAACCACCAAAGAAAAGGCAAAAACGCTCTTCTTAAATATGACTTTCGTAAGATATGAGTATTCCGCACTCTTACCTAACTTCTCTGTTAACACACTCAGATGCTAACTAAAAGGTTGGGGGTTCAGGCCCACCCAGAGGCATTTCAGATGAAAGGCCTGGAGACTGACTTACGAAAAATCAGCCTCTAAAAGCCCTACAGAGCCCTGTTCTACTCTGACACACATGAGGTCACCATGAGCCAGAGTCACCTCCATGACAACGGGCTGGCTTGTCTCGTCTCAGTGCATGTCTGCCTGGCCTCTAGCTGAGTTTCTTTGCACGAGGGCTTTCTCAGACCAAAAGAAACCACTTCTGGGGTTGGGGGGGGGGAGATAGACATGCAGCTCATCTGACAATACGGAACAGGCCTCCATCAGCGAGTGATGGGAGCTGATGTATACATAACCAGCTTTCCCTAGCCCTAGGGCAGGGTGACTAAGGTGTATGTGTCACACTGGGGGCCAGAATTTCTTCTATCAGATTAGGCAATGAGTAGTGTGGCATTGTAGGGTAAGCACTGGACTGCTAACCACAAGGTCAGTGGTTCAAACCCACCAGCTGTTCTTTGGAAGTCTTGAAATCCTATATGGATTGCTGTGAGTCAGAACCAACTCAAAGGCACTTTTGAAGCCCACAGCAATAACTCACCTTATTGGTTACCTTCCCTCCTGTCTCACTTCCCTCATTGACTTTACTAGGATCCCTTCCAAATAAATTGTTAAGTGCCGTCGAGTCGATTCTGACCCATAGCAACCTTGTATAGGGTTTCTGAGGAGCAGCTGGTGAGACTGAACCACTGACCTTGGAATTCAAAAGGCTTTGCAAGCTGGTGCATTAACCCACAGCGCTACAACAGGACTTGTATATTTTTGTCTCAGGTTCGGCTTTTGGAAGAACTCAAACATTGGGATGCTAGCTGGAAGGTCAGTGGTTCACTTCCTGGAAACCCTATGCAGGGTTGCTAAGAGTAGGAATCGACTTGATGGCACTTAACCATAACAGCGACAAATAAAGAAAAGTCCCTCTTGAAGCCTTCCTCATCTCAGTAAATGGCACCACCTACCTACTGGTTGCTGGAAGCCAGATCCCTGGCCATCTTCTTAGACACTTCTCTTACTTAACTCACCCCAAGCCAAGTCCTGACAATTCTGTCTCTTAACTCTGGTCTTGAATCCATTACCTCTCTCCTTCACCACTGCCCTATTCCCGGTAACCTCCATCCCTCCTGGTGATGAAGGCTGCCTGGCTCTGTAGTCCGCAGGCCAGGCCAGGCCAGGTGCTTTTGGGGACAGATGGAACAGAGGGGACCAGGGACTAACCAGTGACCAGAAGCTCTGCCCGGCTGGTATTGGCATGATGGAGATTCCGACAGGTGCAAATGTAGACCCCAGCATCTGAGGGCTGGACGCTGGGGAAGTGGAGCTCGGATCCTGGAAGAGAAGCCATGGGAGCCTGTTAGAGCAGACAAACCCCTTCTCCCGCCCATCCCTGCATTCAAGGACAGGTCTCAGCCCTCCCGGGGGGCATCTCAGGGAGTTGAAGTGCTGTGGACCATGGGTACCTTGATGTCGTTGCTGGGTGGTACTGGGCACAGACCGCCCATCCTCACGAGACCAGTAGAAGTAGTGGGGTGGGTTCCCACTGACCTGGCACCTCAGGGAATGGGGGCCACCTTGGGGTACTATGCTCCGTGCAGGGTGTACCTGGACCACCAGTGGGGCTTGGTCAGCTGTTGAGGAACAGGAGAGACCATTAAGGCAGGCGAGCCCAAGCCTAAGGCATTGCCTTAGATATCTTTGCCCTCCTAAAAGTGCCCCTGGAGTGTTCCTCCCCTCACCCTGTCCTCAGACCTAGTATCCCCCAAACACTAGAACCTTCTAAGATCCCTCTCTTGTCCATCACCTTCATCCTGGTCCATGGTCCCACTTACCCTGCGGCATGCATCGGCTGCCCCGCACATTGGGATTACCTACATATCCGGGGGCACACCTGTAAAATGGAAAAAGGAATAGCTTTGTCAGGTCCCAAGGGAGCTAGTCCCTCATAGAGGGTCTGTGGACCCATAGAAACACCAGCACAGGAATGAGCTATAGAGACTCCTGGAAAGACTGTGGGAGGAGCCTGGGCTTGTCCTGAGGGAAGTGGGGAGTCTTGGGAGGCTTTAGGTCAGGGGAAGGACAAGATCCTAGTAGAAATCTTCCTGGGCCACACCATCAGGTCTCTCACCAAAGACTTCACAGATGATGCCCTCTCCTCCATCTATAAACTTACTGCTCACAGTACTGGCCCGTGTAGCCAGGTTCACAGGCTGTGCAGCGGTATCCACTGGCTCCTAGGCTCTCACAGGTACGGGAGAACCTGGGGTAGAGGGAGGCAAGATCAGGCCATGGGAAGCCCCTTCCCCTTCCTCCTTGAAAGCCAGAGTGGTGCCCACCACCCCTCAGCGGGAATTCTTCCTTGGGCCTTAGGCGAGGGCACCCACATGTTTTCCGGGTTGGTCAGTGGGCAGGCACAGGGCTGGCAGTCCTCTGGTGTTCCAGCAGTGGCATCTCCATAGTAACCAGGGGCACATTGCTCACAGAACTCCCCGGCGGCATTGTGCTGGCATTGCTGTGGAGGACAAGGATGTCAGGCCACCTGAGAGGGGCAACATTTGCCAAAGGCCTTATTATTTTATAAGCCCTTCACCTAGAAATTCCATGTCTGTGATTCCTATTAAAGAGATAATCATGGAAGAGCACCATGATTTCACTACAAGGATGTTCACCTCAGTGGTGTCTCTAAAAGCAAAATGTTAGAACCAAATCTAAACATCCATGAATAGGAAATTGGATGTGGAACAAAGAAACCAACAGCATCACAAAAACAAAACAAAACAAAATTCAGCAAAATGACAGCAATCAATTTATCCCTATCAATGACTATACTGAATGCAAAAGGATTCAATGCACCAATCATGAAGACAGAAAGTAGCAGAATAGATAGGAAAACAAGACATTGTCCACAAGAGACATACATACCTAGACACCAAAACAAAAATAGGCTGAAAATCAAAGGATGGAAAAATTACATCAAGTGAACCAAAAACTAGCAGGAGCAGCAATATTAATCTCTGAGAAAATGGATTCTGAGGCCAAGGTAAACATAGGAGACAAAGGACCTTATTTCATAAAAGGGTCAATTGAACCAGAGGACATAACCATAATAAATGTCTATACTCCTAATTAAAGAGCCTCAAAATGCATAAATCAGGTTCTAACAGAATTGAAGAAACAAATGGGCAGCTCTACAATAAAAGCAGGAGATTTTAATACACTACTTCTGATGAAGAACAGATTAGAAGAAAACTCAACAAAGACACAGAAGAACTAAATAACACAATCAGCCAACATGAACTCGTAGCCATATACAGAACACTCCAGCCTGAAACAGAACTAACTATTCTTTCCCAGAGCACATGGAGCATTCTCTAGAACAGACCATATGTTGGGCCACAAAGCAAGCCTCAATGAAGGAAAAAAAAAATGTGTCTAAGATATGAATTAGAACATCCATTAGAAAATGGGTAAAAGACCTAATGGATATTTTGCAAAAAGGTTATCCAAACGCTAAATAAACATGATGTTGTTGTTAAGTGCTGGAGACTCTTTAGTCCTCAGACATCTTTGCTCTTGAACACCATAAAGAGGTCTTGCACAGTAGATTTGCTTAATGTAAAACGTCGTTTGATTTCTTAACTGCTGCTTCCATAAATGTTGATCCGAGCAAAATGAAGTCTTTGATAACATCATTCTTTTCTCCATTTACCATGATATTATTTATTGGTCCAATGGTGAGGATTTGTGTTTTCTTTACATTGAGATGCAACCAAACCAAAGGCTGTGGTCTTGGATCTTCTAAGTATTTTAAGTCCTCTGTACTTTCAGCAAGCAAGGTATCATCTGCATAACAAAGACTGTTAAAGAGTCTTCCTCCAATTCTGATGCCACATTCTTCTTCATATAATCCAGCTTCTTGGATTATTTGCTCAGCATATAGACTGAATAAGTATGGTGAAAGACTGCAACCCTGGCACACACCTTTCCTGATTTTAAACTATTCAGAGTTCTCTCTCTCTTTTTTTTAAATAGAATAGTTGGGACCAGGTGGGACACTTTGGTGGAGATACTGCAACACAGACCTAGGTAGCAAGTTTATTTTATACACAGCTAAGGGGAGGTGCTTGGGGGCAGGGAAAAGAATAACATCTGGTGTTTTGATGCATGCAGTAAGGGGGACTTTATCAGAAGAATGTAGTTGTTAGGGAAATAGAGATAGATAGGGAGGCTAGAATGCTGTGCAGGCTGAGCCGAAGGACACAGTTAAATACAAGGAAAGACCTTGCAAATTCCCAGACCAGTGAGGCCTTCCTGGGGTGTGGGAGACTTTAACTTGGAACAACTGTTCAGTTGCAATCCTTTGGTTAAACTATCCCCCAGTCAGCTGCTCCCAACACCTTCCAATATACTGAACTGTACTGGGTCCTTAATTTGTAATCATATAATAAGTGGGGGTCGCAGAAGAGGATCCACAAGGATCTTTTTTATTTTTATTTTTTAAAGTTTTTATTGTGAGGTATACACGGGAGAACATCAGCTTTACACTCATCCTATCGTATTTCGTTTCATTGCAATCATTACAATCCCCTCCATGCATCATCAAATAACCAAAGGGTACACCACACAGGCCCGCCTCCCATCCGCCAGCACACAGTCCTTCTCCCTCACTGAGTCCCGTGTCCCCTGCCACTCCATCCCTGGCATTACTGCCTCTCTGGGTAGGGTCCCACTCTCCGCTCTTCTCCCTTGATGGTCCCAGGGATCTCCGCTCCTAGACTGCAAAGTCAATCACTTCCCTTCTTTTGCTACAAAATGTCTACCTTTACATTTCCAACCCTCACAGTCAGTCCTGAAAACAATTATTCACTATTGTATCACAAGAGACCGATCCGCATCTCCTTTCATCTTTTAAAACTTCTAAAACTCACTCTGGAACACTTCACCTCACCAATGTGTGGCCTGCCATTCTTCTCCCTTGATGGTCCCAGGGACCTCCACTCCTGGGCTGCAAAATCTATCACTCTCCTCCTTTTGTCAAAAAACATCTACCTCTATATTTCCTACCCTCACAGTCAGTCCTAATGGCAATTATTCACTATTGTACCACAAGTTTTATCCCCATTTCCTTTCGCCAGCCCGGTCCGAACAGATTGTAAATCATTCAGTGGTGATTCCACCTTCCCCTGCCCCGTCTGGAACTAGGTTCCCTCTTGAAAGCTTGTAACCCAGTCACTTCTTGCCTTTATAGGCCCCCCATTTTGGGTAGCCAATGTCTAAGTTGCTCTTCCCTGTCAACCTTGTGTACCAAGGGGGTGGGAGTGATCCTCACTGTAAAGAGTTGTTCCTTTTGAACTACTACATCCATAGTATAGGTAAAGTTCATCAAATTGTAGCAGGTTACTATCCCCCACCCTTCTTTCTTCTTCTAGTCAAGTTCTGATCCTCCAACCATCAAAGCCAGGTCAAGTAGGTACTATCTGCATCTTGTGCATCTCCCCTCACTTCATATCAGCTGGATGCTTCACTCTCTGCTCTGGTCCTCTGTGGCCATGTCACTGCCTCTGGGTCCAGGCCATCCAGGTCTCCACCCGGGTTAACAGGGATCTAATGAATGTGGTCAGGCTTAGCGTGCAACTTCATTGCTGTTTTTCCCCCTCTTCCTCTTATCAGTGACCAACGTGGTCACCAGCCAGACCACATGCCTGTTCATGTATTCCCCTTGAGTCTCAGTCTTGGAAGGGGGTCTCTTGTTCTATATGAACAACTGCCTCTTGGTCTATGGACAGGTTCCTCATGAACACAATTAAGTGTTCTGGAATACTCACTCTCTACAATATTTCCCATACCTTGTCATGATCCACTCAACTGAAAGCTTTTATGTAGTCAATACACCACAGGTAAACATCTTTTTGGTATTCTCTGCTTTCAGGCAAGATCTATCTGATGTCAGCAATGATATCCCTCATTGCACAACCTCATCTGAAGCCAGTTTGAACCTCTGGAAGTTCCCTGTTAATGTACTTCTGCAGCTGTTTATGAATTGTTTTTAGCAAAATTTTACTTGTATGAGATATTAATGGTATGGTCCAATGATTTCAGCATCTATTGGGTCACCTCTCTTTGGAATGGGCACAAACATGTATTCCTTTCAATCAGTGGACCAGGTACTTCCAAAATTCTTGGCATACATGAGTGAGTGCCTCAAGGGTTGCCTAAGTTTGTTGAAAGATTTCAATTTGTATTCCATTAATTCCTGGAGCCTTGTTCTTTACCAATGCTTTGGACTTCTTCCTTTAGTACCACTGGCTCTAAATCATATGCTACCTCTTGAAATGGTTAAACATACACCATTTCTTTTGGTACAATGACTATGTATGTCTTCCATCTTTTTCTCTGTCTTTTTTTTTTTTTTTTAATGTTTTATTGTAAATTATGTGATAGTTTACATGGGAGAACATTAGCTTTACATTCATCCTATCCTATATTGTTTCATTGCCATGGTTACCATCCCCTCCATACATCATCAACCAACCAAAAGGTATACCCTTCAAGCCTGCCCCCCGGTTGTCAGCACACAGCCCCTCTCTGTCTCTGGGTCTAGAGTTCCCAGCTGCTCCATCTCGCCACGTCATCTCTGCCTCCATTCCTGGCATCACTATTTCTCTGGGTAGGGTCCTGCATTCTACTCTTCTCCCTTGATGGTCCCAGGGACCTCTGCTCCTGGACTGCAAAGGCAACCACTCCCCTCCTTTTTCCATCTTCTTTTAATGCTTTCAGCATCATTCAATATTTTGCCCATAGAATTTTTCAATATTGCAAGTTGAAGTGTAATTTTTTTCTTCAATTCCCTCAGTTTGAGAAATGCTCAGTATGTTCTTCCCTTTTAGTTTTCTGACTCCAGGTCTTCACACATTTCGTTATAATATTTGACTTTGTCTTCTTGAGCTGCCCTTTGAAATTTTCTATTCTGCTCTTTTACCTCCTCATTTCTTCCATTTGCTTTAGCATCTCTACACTGGAGGGCAAGTTTTAGAGTGTCTTCTGATCTTCATTTGGTCTTTCCCTTCTTTTGTATCTTCTTAATGACCTTTTGCTTTCTTGCTATATGATGTTCTTAATGTCATCCCACAGCTTCTCTGGTCTTTGGTCATTAGTGTCTAAAGCATCCAATATGTCCTTAAGATGCTCTCTAAATTCAGGTGGGATATATATATTCAAGGACATATTTTGGCTTTTCTGGATTTGTTTTAATTTTCTTCAGCTTCAACCTGAATTCACATATGAGCAATTGATGGTCTGTTCCACAGTCTGCCCTTAGCCTTGTATGGCTGATGATATTGAACTTTTCCAGCATCTCTTTCCACAGATGTAGTCAATCTGATTTCTGTGTATTCCATCTAATGAGGTCCATGTGTATAGCCATCTTTTATCTTGTTTAAAAAGGGTATTTGCAATGAAGAAGTCATTGGTTTCTATCACCAAGGGCATATTTTCAAATCACTGGTCCTTTGTATTCCAATCACCAGTAATTATCAATACACCTTGATTGCATGTTTGATCAATTTCAGACAGAAGAAATTAGTAGACTTCTTCAATTTCAACATCATTGGCTTAAGTGGTTGGTGTGTAAATCTGAAGAATATTTGTACTAATTTGCCTTCCTTGTAGGCGTATATCCTATCACAGGCAGCGCTGTATTTTAAGACAGATCTTGAAATGTTCTTTTTGATGATGAATGCGATGCCATTCCTCTTCAATTTGTCACTCTAGGCATAGTAAACCATGCGACTGTCAGATTGAAAATGGCCAATGCCAGTCCATTTCTGCTCACTAATGTCTAGGATATCAATGTCTATGTGTTCCATTTCATTTTTAACAGCTTCCAATTATCCTACATTCATACTTTGCACGTTCCATGTTCCCGATTATTAATGGCTGATTACAGCTCTTTCTCTTCATTTTGAGTTGTGCTCCATCAGCAAATGAAGGTCTGGAAGGCTTTACTACATTCACATCACCACAGTCAATTCTACTTTGAAGAGGAAGCTTTTCTCAAGAAGCATTTTGAGTGCCTTCCAATCTGAAGGGCTCATTTTCCGGCACTAGATCTGAAAATATTCTGGTGCTGGTCATCATGTTTCAATACTCAATAATCTGGTGCTGACAGTGTTCCAATGCTATTCACAGGATTGTCAGTGACTAAATATTCAAATATTCAAGAAGTAGTCTGTTTCTCCTTCTTCCTAGTCTTAGTCTAGAAGCTCAGTTGAAACTGCGATATTTACTTCATATTCATATTCACTCATCAATTGCTCACCATGGCGACCCTGCTGGCATTTAAAATGCCTATGGCATAGCTTCCAGAATCACAGCAACATGTTAACCTCCACAGTACGACAAAGTGATACATAAGTGGTAATTTCTCCAGTATATATATGTGTAGGAATCCTGGTGTGGTGTTGTAGGATAAGCAGTGGGCTATGGACTGCAAGGTTGGTTTGAACTGCAAGGTCAGCGGCTCAAATTCACCAGTCGTTCTATGGAAACTCTATACAGTGTCGCTATGAGTTGGAAACGACTCAACGGCACTTCATAACAACATGTATGTATGTGTGTGTGTGTATATTATATATTATGTATGTATATATAAACCGGATAAGCAAATAAAGTACATTCACTCAAGCAGTTATCCAAAAGGATGGTGTTGATTGCATTTCTTCTATTCACACCTTGGTATATGGGGGTAAAGCTTTAAAAATACATACTTCATCATACAAAATATGTGTGCTTTTATATTCCCCTCCGAAGACTGTCATGTTTATTTTATGACCATAGCAGGTTTCTGGCTTGGGATTAGTTGGTAGCTCTGCGACTACCTGAGCCACACCTGAGCACGTACCCAGGACTATGCACATACCCAGGACTATGCACACACCACTTGGCAAAGTCCAGGTATAAAAAAGGCCTAATGATAAACGAAGCTAGTTGGGAACTAGTAAGTGCAAAAAGTTGACCAAGCAGGATTATCCCAGGAATCTTTTTGAAATGAAAAAACATACCAACATGTATAAATGTCTGTCTCACTCTGATGCTGACAGTGACGATCTCATGGTGGTAGGGTTATCTCTGTAATCTGACTCCTCCTCAGAAAACATGTGTCACTTTGGTGATGAGAAACAGCAGGTACCTGTTTTCTTTATATTAACCTACTGTCATCACTGAAGGATAAGCACTGGTCTGCTAACTACAAGGCAGACAGTTCACACCCAACAGCCACTCCTCGGAAACCCTACACAGGGTCACTATGAGTCAGAACCGACTTGAGGGCACTTAACAACTGCCATTAAGTAGATTCCAACGCTTAGCGACCATATAGAATAGAGTAGAATGGCTTCACAGGGTTTCCAAGGCTAGCAATCTTTTTTAAAAAAATTTTTTTCATTTTCATTTTTGTGTTCCTTTTATTGCTTTGCTTAGAAAGCATCTCAAGGGGTATTGTTGTTGTTATTGTTAAGTGTCATTGAGTCTGTTCCAACTCACAATGACTCTATATAGGGTTTCCAAGGAGCGGCTGGTAGATTTGAACTGCTGACGTTGCAGTTCAAACCAACACTGCAGTTGAGTGCTTATCCTACAGCGCCACACCAAGACTCCAAGAAATAAGACTAAGTTATGATAATTCATTAATTGTTCCTGTCAAGTAAAGTCTGACTCATAGTAACCCTGAAGGAAAGTTTAGAACTGTCCCAGAGGATTTCCAATCTTCATAGAAGCAGATTGCCTAGTCTTATCTCCAAGGAGTGGTTGGTGGGTTTGAACCACTGACTTTCTCATTAGCAGTTTAACACCTAACCCAGTGTCACCAGAACTCCTTGTTCTTTCTATTAGAAAGATGGGATTCAATAGCTCTGTTGCCCCCACCCCCGCCCCCATGCCCACACACTCAGTTGACACAGAGACTTCATTCTCACAAGGCCATGCCCACAGCCTTGCCCCTGGCTCTAGGATTAGCTCTCTAAGGCCCCCTCTCCCTATCCCATACGCAGCCCTATGCCCCACCCCAGGTCCAGTTGAGTTTGCCCCCCATCCCTGGCCCTGTTTGCATCTCACCGAGCAGGCCCCGGTCTCTGGGTGGCACAGATCCGAATGACCGTTGCATTCACACAGCTCGCAGTGCCCAAGGTAGAGCCCACTCCCCGTGCGGGTGTAGCCTGAGGCACAGTCCTAGGGGGCAAAGAGAAAGGCTGGTCTCCAAGCAGACCCACAATCCCCACCCTCATCAACATGAATTCTGATTGGACATTTCAGTCTGGAGTCCACTGGCTTTTGGAGGGGAAATCCTTGGTCCAGTCCTGCGCCCCATATGCCCTTGCAATAATCCCACCCAGAGTCAGGGGAATGTCTGCCCCATTTTGCCTGCCCTCTCTGGCCACTCTGAATTTAGCAAAACAGTAAGTTATAATTAATGGGAAATCCTTCCCCAACCCAGGGCCTTAGTTCTTAAAAAATCCTCCTGGCAGAAAGGGTGTCTATTGAAAATCTTAACCCTAAAGGGAAAAAGGTTCAGGCAACCTAAATTTGGGACGCTTAGATTTGGAAGATCCTTAGGGCAAAGTGACAGAGACAGAACAGACAAAACAGAGGAACTTTCTGCAGCTTCTAAATGAGTAGTAATGGCTTCTGAAAACAATTTCTACTCACTACCCCTTCTTCAAAATCTCTCTCTCCTCTGCCAATCATCTCAAAGGATGTTTAGAAATCTGTTTTGCTTTGATGCAAAATGTCCACCAGAAATTCCTGGCTTCCCCCAGGGCTACACCTTCAGGATGTCTTACATTTTACAACTTGGAGGGATGGGAAAAGTCATTTATTTGGGGTTGAAATTCTCAAGACGACAGAAAAGGTGTACGGAGGTCAAATTCCATAGGTGAAGACTACCTACTGGGGAATCCCAAGATAGGAAGCTTGCTGGGCCTTATACCTGATCTCCCAAATGCCTACCTGGTATTTCAGGCCTTCTCCCGCCTTGCTATCCCACCTTCCTCTCATGATTTTTCCTTTTCTCATTTCCACATTCATGCATCAGTTGTTACCTTGGGCACCTGCCATGAGCCCGGGGGGTTGGCTGTGCCCTTGTGTTCATGGTCTCCAGCCAAGCAGCTCTAGAGATGCCTTCTCTTCACCTGACAGCCCACTCCTACCCCCGTTCCCACCCAACCCAGCCAATTCACTACCATTAGATGAATTTTCCTGGAATCCAACTTACATTGCGTTACTCCCTTAGCAGCTTCCGTTTCCTACTGATACTGATTGAGGTCAGGTCCTCCCTGACTTTCCAGGTGCTGTTCCCCAACAGGCTCCTCCTCCCCCCGAGCTTTTTCTTCTCTGTCTCCTGCCTGAACTTGCTCCATGCTGTTGCCCTCTCATTTCCACACCCTGCTGCCTCCCTGACTCTGGTGGGCACCAGGGCATGAGCATGGCAGCCTGGAACACGAGGCAGGACCACCTAGTGATTCAGGACATAAAAGGCTCTGGAGCCCATCAGACCCTGGTTCACACTAGTTTCTACCACACGGGAGCTGCATGCCCCTGGGTAAGTCACTCACCCCTCAGCACCTCTATTTTCATTTTTGTTATGGGGTTAATTACATATCGCTGAGGGCTGTTGGGAAGACTCAATGAGATAATGCAAACCAGGTGGTCACTTCAGTTTGACAGCGCTCACGAGCTGAGGAAACGCCAGTTCGTCAGGGTGTTGGGCAGAACACAGGTGGTTGGGTTGCTAGGCACTCACCTGGCAGGAGGAGCCCACATAGCCTGGTGGACAGCGGCACTCTTCCACCTCCAGGGCTCGGGGGCCGATTGAGGGTCCTGGCTGAGCCACTTCCAGGCTGACTGCACTGATGCTGGCGGCCAGAGGCATGGAGGAGAACGTGGCCCGGACCAGCAGTTCATCCAGGTCTGCCAGAGCCATCAGAAGGTGCTCTCGGGTGGCTGGCTGGCCGTCAGGCCGGCGCCAGAATTCCTGGGTGGGGGATGTAAACGTCAGGGAGGAGCATCAGGCTTTGCAAGATGCTCCTGTGTGCTCCCCCATCCCTGCTTTCCAGGTACTGCCCAAGGACTAGGAGGTAAAGACAGGGCAGTGAGAGGCAGGGGGAGTGGACTCAAAGCCATACTCTGCATCAGGGTGGGGGACAGGGCAGAGAGTGCCCAGTGAGGGAACCTCACCTCTTGGAACACAATCTCGTAACTCTTCCTCTCGGGGCCTTGCAGTGCTGGCTGGGAGGCCACCAGCATAATGTTGTTGCCCTGGGGAGACAGGATTCGGATTGGGAGGGGAACCCCACTGTCACCCATCAGTCCCAGCCTCCCTGTAACAGCCAGCTTCCCAGGTCCATGTGACCAGAGGAGACAGGACTGTGCACACTGCCCTCTATACTGGCAGCCTGGCCTCTGTCTATGGAACACCCAGTCAGGCAGTGGAGGTCATGGACAGCCTGGGCTGAAAGGGCTGATACCCTGGCTCCCACCTTGCCCTCTGACCAAGGAGCTCAGAGCTGCTGCTCACCGTGATCTGGACATCGGGGTCAGAGAGCGGGCTGCCCTGAGCTCCAGCTGTGTAGGAGAGGGTGTAGCGAAGCTTCCCGCCATATGCTGCCACCTGCAAGAAAGCAAAGCCAGAGGTCACAGACTTACTCTGTCATCCTCTGAACTAGGGGGAGCTGTCTATACAGGTGAGGCCTTTATTGTACCTGTGCTGGCTCCCACCCATAGAGGCTATCTAGTAAACAGCCAATCAGGCACAGTAAAGAGTCCTAGCGTAGTGGTTACATGTTGGGCTACTAGCCTCAAGGTCAGCAGTTTGAAACTACCAGCTGTTCTGCAGGAGAAAGGTGAGGCTTTCTGCACCCATAAGATTTACAGCTTCAGAAGCCCTATGCAGGGTCGCTGTGAGTCGGAAATGACTCCACGGCACACCACCACCACTGTCTGAAACAAGCTCCAAGTTCCTTTTCATGTTAAGGAATTTCTCCTAAAGCACACAGAAGAAATGGGGAGGCTGAGTCACAGGCTTGGGATTGATGGTCCACTTCCAAGATGGGCGAACTTTATTCACCTCCCATCCATCCAGCTGCGCTCCAGGCCTCTGTCGACCCATCTGCGTCATAAAGTGCTCTGACAAAGGAATTTCTGATAGTTTAGGATTCTGTGCCCCTCATATTCCCACCAACTCCTTGGTTTCATTTAAAGAACGACTCTTCCCCACATGCAGGCCATGTGGCTAGAGAACACTGCCTCCCGTTCCACAGTGGGGACATGAGCCAGGCCCTCCCTCCAGCACCATCAAGGGTGGACGTGTGAAGCAGGGCTTCCAAGAGGACTCACTGCTGGCACGTCTGTGATCTCTGCCAAAACGGAGAAACGCCCTTTTCTATCCAACTGTAAGCTAATAGTGTGGAAAGTCAGAGAAGAATGCCAAGCAAGATAATGTCCAAATGAGCCCCTGGGTCCACTCATGCCGGCTACCAAAGTCCTTGGACTTTGTAGTTACAGGAACCGGTCTAGTCTTTGTTGCAAAAAAGCCAGCTGTGCTTGAGTTTTCAGTTGTTCATGAAGGACCAGAAAAGTCCTCAGGCTTGCCGGTGGTGGACAAGGTCCAAGCTCTGCCCTTCAGGACTTCCCTGCCCCCCCAATGCCCCCCCACCCCCGTCTGTCCTCTGCCCCCAGGGTGGTGCTCAGATCAAAACCACCACTATACCAGGCATTTGTTCGTTCTGTTGGTACGCATTTATTGAAACCCTACTGACATAACATGCTCATGGAGTATGGCCAAATAACCAGGAAACCACTATTTTCCTGTTTGCTCACTGCCACTTCCGAGGACAACCTGCTAACAAGTTGCAGGTGTGTACAGCATAGTGGCTAAGCGAGCTGGCGGTCTCTGTAGTTTGAAAGACCCAGATCCAACTTCCAACTTTACTGGCTGTGTAGCCTTGGGAAAGTTGCTTAACCTCTCTGAGCCCCACTTTTTCTCTTGTGGGGTATAGTGAGCATTAACTGGATAGGTAACTCAGCTTGACACTTGGTAATTTCTTATTATTCTCAGCTCCACCCTCCACCTGAGCAAATCTTTCACTGTCTTAGTTTACTTCTCTGAATGGTATTTTCTTGCATATCATGTGAGTTTTCTTAGTGGCACACAAATCATTTTTGGAATAAAATGGAAATGCTATTAATATTAAGGAGCTCTGGTAGCATAGTGGTTACGAATTGGGCTGCGAACATTAAGGTCAGCTGTTTGAAACTACCAGCTGTTCCATGAGAGAAAGATGAGGCCTTCTGCTCCCGTAAAGATTCACAGCCTTGGAAACCCTGTACAGGGTCGCTATGGGTCGGCACAGAACAACGAAAACAATCAATAATATTAATACTAAAACCAGTGTAGGTGCTAATAGTAAAACTAATGCCCAAGATGATTGCTATTGCTGATAAGTGCCAAATCATAGTGACCCTATGGTCCAGTGCTTATCCTATAGCACCATACCAGGACCCAAGTGAGACTAAGGCTCTCTGAGCTCTGGGAGGCCTTTGACCTCTTCTGCATATGCATAAATGCAGCAGACACTAAGTGCTTAATGCTTTGTGGAGGAAAAGAATGAGTTACTTGGAGCTGAGCCACTGATGTGGGCTCAGGGTAAATAAAGTTCAAAGAGGTGCTGGGGAGATCTTTCTAGGTGAGACCAGAAGCCAGGAGCCAGCTGAAGGGTAAGCACCGAGCAAATGAGCTGGGCTTAACTGCAGCTTGATTTAGATCTGAACACAGACCCTTCTCTCCAGACCTCCGTCTGTCTATCCATCTGCATCAGAAGGCACTCTGACAAAGGAACTGCAGCTATCTTAGGATTCTACGACCTCATGCACCCACCAACTCCCTATTACCTTGTTCCCCAGGAAGACCCTGGGTAGCTGCCAATAATAGAGGTTTTCTGGAAGCAAAGAGAAGCCCTCGTAGGAGAGAGAGAACTAGAATAGAAGGACAGGAGGTAAGAGCTGAGGAGAGTGTGTGGGGGCCAAGAGGGTAGAGATGGGGTAGAAACAGGCTAGAGGGACACCCAGTGGTAGGGCAGAGGGAAAGCACCCCCACCCCAGAGCTCAGATTTTGGCCCCATTCTTGGACAGCTCGCTTCCCCTCTCAGGGCCTTGACCCTCCCAACTGATCTCATTGGACAGGGTGGCATTTCTTCATGATTGGCATCTCCTTACGTCTGTAGCCCTCTTATCGATCTCAGGATGATTTTTCACAGCACACTGTGAATGCTTTCGTATCTAATGGCTATTTCCATGTGTATTTTTAAACATGCAAACAGTGTAATTGACTTGGGCAGTGGCTGATTTCGTTGAAGTAAATGATCCATGTCTTGTGCAGGAATAGAAGAAGCGGTGAAGTAGGTTCAGAAACAGCTGGACTCAGAAAAGTGTGGCATGGGGCAGAGGGTCTTGGTGGGATTCTGGGAACATACCTGAGAGCCTGCTGAGAAAGGCAGAGAAGCTGAGGAAAAGGAGGAGGAAGAGGAGGAGGAGAAAGGTGGAGCTACTCGTAGGGCGGCTGCAGGCTGGGGAGGAGGGGCAGGGGGGGCTGCAAAGCTGGAGAGGAGCTGCCAGATCTCAGTATCCATCCGCCTCTGGGCCTCATTCACCTGGGAGACCAGAGAGGAAGGACAGACAGATGGAGGGAGGGAGCAGGGAGGAGACAGGGAGGATGCAGGTGAGGCCTTGCTTTTCCCCAGGCTAGAAGGGTCATAGAATCCTAAGCTAACCCAGTTCCTGCACTGTCCCCCCACCCCCACAGCTGCCCACCCACTAACTACTGTACTTTCCTGATGCTTGGCCCTGTACCACTGTCTTCTCCTCATGGGCCTGGTGGGATGTCCTGGATGGGCCCAGCTGACTGATAGGGAGAAGGCCACAAGGAGAGGGAAGCAGCTCTGCCCAGCTCAGGCCAGAGGGGCTGGAGGCACCCCCAGTGCATTTGTGGTAGGGGAGGCCAAGACTCCTTGGGACTAACTCTCCATAAGGTCTGTGCCCCAGCTTAAACCATTATAGTTCTGGAATGTTTTTCATGGGCAGTATGGAGGGGTCTGGGCATCAGGTTGGGGTCTGGATAAGCCCAGGAGGACTGGTGGCTAGGTCAAGGTGCCTCTGCTTTGACTGAACTCTCAGGTCTTCTCCCTGGGGCCCAAGGCATAGCCTTCCCAGGCCAGGCCTTCAGTTACCTGGGATGCCCGCTGGGCTCTGGCCCTGCCCTCTGGGGGCGCTGGGATCCTGCCAGTTGCCACAGCTGCCCGCAACTGCTCCTCTGAGAAGGATGTGCGATTCTGATGGGGTGGAGCGGCACAAACTAACTCAGACCTGCCAAGGACCCGAGGCTGGCGCCATGGGCAGTGCCCAGCCAGAAAGATCCCCACTGACTGAGGACAAAGACATGCTCCTCTCTCTGGGCTGGCACACAGGGGTTAACTCAAGGCCACTGCACAGGTTAATGGCACTGCTTGGGGGCAATACTAGGGTAAACTGATGGGCAAAGACTAGCAGTGAATTCATTTTCCTGCTTCTTCAGTCTCCACTCTGGCCAGACACAACAGGCACCCGAAGCAGACCACACAGAGGGGAGGTGTGGTGTGGCTCACAGCCCTCCTGGCTCTAAATCCTGACGTCACAGGACTAGGTATAGCAATGCCTGCCCTGGGGGCTGCTGGGTATTGTCTGGGCTCATGCAGACCCACATCACCATGAGTACCAGGTATTTCCTTGCACAAGGCTGAGGGCATCCACAACCAAGACATGCCCACATCACACCAACTTCACAACATGCGTGGCATTAGCCTACCTGGTGAGCCCGGCGTATCCTTGCAAAATATGCCTCCCTCTGTGGGGTGTGGGAGGAGATGGCAGGAAAGGGAGTCAGAGAGAAAGTTCAGAGAGGTACAGGGTCAGGGAGCAGAGACAGATAGGGAAGAGGAGAGCAGGAACCCGAGAAGGAACCAAGAGGGAGCCAGCTTGAGGAGGAGGTGGAGAGGGTAGTCCCAGAGCAACTTCTTATAAATGTCCCAGCCGGGGACTCTTGGACCAAGCCCTCTTTCTCTGGGGACCACCAGGTGGCCTTGAGCCTTGGGGGTTCACATTTGGGCTGGCTGCCCCTAAGACCCTGCCCCTAAACTACCACCACCATCACCACATCCCACTAGACGTAGCAGTCAGGTTCACCTCTGCTAATGAAGCTTTTAATAGTAATTGTTAATCTGGTTAAAGTATTGCTACCTACTAGCTGTGTGACTACAGGCCGAGTTACCTCTCTCACCACCCACACCTTCCTGCCATTGAACCGATTCTGACTCACAGAAACCCTACAAGACAGAGTGAACTACTACTTAGTGTTTCTAAGGCTGGAAATCTTTATAGGAGCAGACAACCTCCTCTTCCTTCCTTGGAGCAGCTTATGGGTTTGAACCACCAACCTTGTGGTTAGCAGCCCAGCACATGACTCACTGTGCCACCAGGGCTCTTCCTCTCCACCACTGTTGCTGTGAAGTGTTGTCGAGTCGGTTCTGACTCATACAGACCCTGTACAGGGTTTCCGAGGAGCAGCCAGGTAGGCTTGAA